AATAGGATCACAAGTCCGCATCTTGTACAGCAATTAACCACTAAGAAGAATATATGCAGTGTATTATTTGTTGAAAAATAAAAAAAATAAAATAAAATAAAATAAAAAGATACAGGCCAATTGCCAGAAATCAAAGAACTTTGCTCTGAGCTCCCTAGTAACTATAGTAAAGAAGGAAGATTGCTTAGGAAGTTCACAGCTTTGCCTGACATAAAGACCCAAAATTATTTGCTTCAACAATATAAGCCTCATTCCTTTGGTTTCATTGTTCACTGCTTTATTCTCAATGAAGGGAATAGCAGTGTCTGGTATGTATGTGTTCAGATACATTTATTGGCTAACTTTGTGGATCCTATAAAAAAAAATTGTATAGCAAGAAAAAGACTATGTCCTTAAATATGTCTATACAATAAAAACAACAGTACAGTTTGGAAGGAAGGTGCTTCTTTTCATGAAAAAATAAAATTTCATAATCCAGTAAAAAAAATTACTACACTGTGGGCTGTTATCTTCAAACGAGTTATTCAGGAAACAAGACATAAACAAAGAAGATTCCTACAAAAAACATAATAGCACAAAACTTTTGGCAAACTAGGGTAAACTAGAAAGCTACACTAATACCCTCTTAAGAAAGAGGGTCATAAAACAAGAGCTGTCATAACAAAAAAAACTAACAGTAACAAATGTTGGAGAGGATGTAGAAGAAAAGGAACTCTACTACATTGCTGGTAGGAGTGTAAATTAGTGCAACCACTGTGGAAATCAGTATAGAGATTCCTCAGAAAATTGAAACTAGAAACTCAGCTTAACCCAGCTGGTTCTTAGAAGCCAAATCAATGCAGTCCTTAGTTAATGAAAGACAGTTTCACTTGGGTCACATCCCTCCACTGTGTGTGTAGCATGCTTTGCAAGGCTGTTTATGACACCAAAGAGGTCAGGGATAGCTAATTTCTATGGAAAGTCTTCTTGGGGGAATTGCCACCTGGAAACAAGAACCCCAGCTCCTGTCACTCAGCTGCATGATCCAGTCTCCCCAAATCAGTAAAAGTTGTATCTTCTGGTGTCCTGGCTACCAAGTGACTTTGAGGCATTTTGAAAGTCACTTCATTTCCCTTCAGTTTGCCTTCTCAGTCTCTCAAGATTCATGAGTCATGAGCCCAGGCACTCAACGGGGTGCAGTTGGGATTGTATGGCATGGCACACCTCGGTCTGGCTAGTGCCACTCACCCCCTGAGATTTACAAGAATTCTTCCTGAGAGCCAGCCTGTTCTTTCCACTGGGAACTGTCCCTGACTCTTAGAGGCTTTCGGACCAGGCCTCCCTGTACCTCCTGCTGTGGAGGTAGCCATCTTCCTGCTCTGTGAACATTCTGGACCTCTTTTTCCTGGTCCCAGTTACTCAGTAAAAATGACCCCTGCTATTTTCTGAAGCACGATGCTTGAGACATGCTTGAAAACTGAGTTACCCGTCACCAAAATCAACCGCCATGTGGAAGCAAAGATAATGTCACATTAGTAGAAACTCTTCTTGTTTCCACAGTAATAGAATTCTGTTTAAAACAAATGAAGGAATGCCCACTTGAACATCCCCATGCCTTAACATACCTGCCACAGCAGGCGCTGCAGTACCTGATAAGAGGGTGTCCGTTGGAACAGCTTTCCTTTGTGGACAGATGGAATTAAGTTCTTGAAATTTAGAAACAGGATGTACAGGCTCATATGCAGAGCTTAAAGCCTAGTTTTCTTTTTTTTTTCGTCTGCTCAGCCCACCCTGAGGACAGGGTTGGCTCTGCACCTGCCTAAACTTGCCTAAGCAGGCACTTTAGATGGCTGAGCTATCTTGCCAGCCCCTGGAATGTAGTTTTAATTCCCTACAAGTTAACTTACTGGATTTATGTTCTTGGACAAAGTACATGCATTAGCTTCAGCTTTGCACTGTTGCAACAAAACACCTGATGTAAAGAGCTTAAAGGAGGAAAGGTTTGTTTTGGCTTAGTTTCATAATTTCTAGTCTCTAGTTAGCTGGTTCCTCTCAGCCTGAGGTGAGGCAGGCACATTCAGGCAGAAGAGCGCTGTGGAGCAGAGTTGCTCCTCTTGCAGCAGACAGAGTACACAGAGCTTGGGAGAACCAGAAAGAGGGCCAGATTTGGTCCCCAAGGTAGCACTGCCCTGACGCATTTCCTCCAACCAGTAAGCTCCACCTGTTTTTATCACCTCCTAATAATGTCCTCAAGTTATGTCACCAACAGGCAAGTCTACTGGCGAAGTTAGAACCCACATGATACAATCACTTCAAAAGCTATT